AAGAAGATGTATCAGGGAATAGGAGAGGGGTCTCACAAGGCTACATAAATTTTTATTGATCTCTCTAAGAACTGAGTTAGTCTGTAATAACCTTAAACAGATACAATTAAAAATCCAAACAAGTGAGAAAAATAGATCTTTGTCTTCAGTGAAATGAGTATGTAGACTATACTGAACCATCCTTTTGATGTGAGCTGTCACTTTGCATTCAGTGATCATGGTAAGTATTGCTTATTCACTTTGAGAATCTGCAGCAGAATTTGCTTCACGTGGTATTAAATATTACTAATACAGCAGAATTATGTGCTGAGATTTTAAATTGATAGTTGCACGAGATGTCAAGAGTTAGCCCTTTTTTCTTTAAAGTATGTTTATACTCTTTGATTCATACATTCACATTCTCTGGTCCTCTGCAGAGATAGTCAAATTATCCATTGTAAAACATAATTCAGCAAATGTGCTCCTCTTGTTATCATTCAGGCACAAGCCAGTTGCCCTCTTGTATTCATAAAGATTTACTAAGTAGTTTATGCAGCTAAAATCATCATTTTTGTTCTTTATTGATTATGCTTTTCAGATGCTTAATAGTTTGTCAATTCAATGTGTTCTTAATGATAAAAAACTGATCTTGTTTTTTCATTCCCTGATGTGATATAATGTAGCCCTTGCCCTGCATTTTTTAAGGATACTGCCAGCCTGACTGAGTAACTTGAATATTCCTTTTAATTCCTGTATAGATTGTTGGGCAAAACCACACTAAAACTTTGATGCATTTTAATTTTGTTACTAAGGTGGAATAAATGATCCCATTGATTTAAGTGGTACAAATTAAATCTGATCCAAAAGAAATGTACTGTCTCAGTTCACAGCAGTGTTACAGATCTTTATACTAAATGATTTGCCTTCTTCTCAGTCCAACCAGCAGAACAGACTAAACCACAAAAAAATCTGTAAAAAAATCAAAATACCAAGGGTGTTCATTAAGATTCAAATCAAACCCCTCTGATTCTTTGGATTTCTGTTGATGTCAGTGCTTTTGATATGTTGTCATTGATAAGTGCTACTTAATAAGGCATCACTAATTTTCTCAACAGATTTTACTGATGAATGCCATTTTCTGCAAAATTTAGCATTTAACACGCTGAAAATCAGGTTTTATAAGTCTGCAAGATTCTTTTGCTTTCTATTGCGTGATATTTCAATATATGGCCATTATTTAACAAGATTATCATAATATTAAAATATTA